TCTTGAGTAAGTTGCCTGAGGTACATAGCAGATTAATGATAAAGTCCAGACTCTTGCCTAGATAGCATTTGGCTCCAGAACGTGGACGTTCACCCAGTTCAATAATCTACCTCTGTACAGATGACTTGAGTCTCATCTCTTGTATGAAATAGAGACGTTTATATCCATTTGCTCACAAGAAAGCTCCACCTGAGTCTTTCTTGGGACTCTCAAGCTCATGATGTGCAAAACTGATGTTACCATTTTCTGTCTCTCATTTTGTTCCTTGCCTCATTGAATGGCCTCATCCTTCATGCACTTGCCCAAGTAGGGATCCTTGAAATAACCCTAGATTCCTTCCTATTCTTTACCTCCAGATTCAATCAGTGACCAAATTCTTTTAATCTTGTGGATCAGATATCCTCTGGCCACTAAACTGGTTCTAACTCTCATTTCCTCTCTCCCTTGGATTGATATGCTTTGGAGAAAGTTTTTGTGCAGATAAGGGAAGATGGAGTCTGCCCTGTAAGATTGTCCCAGTCAAAGAAAAACTTAGAGACATTTAGTTATTTTGCATGAAAATTGTTGATTCACATGTGAGGGAGGTGGTTGACAGAGTTAAAGAACAGTCAAAGATAGCGTTCTATAAGGGAAGTAGAGAGGACAGAGAAATACTGTAGTCTGGGATGTTCCCAGTGAATGTTGTTTGCACCTTTTTGGGTAAATAAATGATTTTCTGTTGGCTAGCAAAGAGGAGTGTCTGGTAGTTCTATCCTCTGGTGGACAGGAATATGAAAGAAAGCAATTTCAGTTGTTTATGGGTTCTTTAGAAAAACATTGAGTGTTTAGCTGTAGGGTATACATACCTGGTTATGTCCATTAGTTGTAATGTCCATCAGTGTCCTTCCATCAATACCTCCACTTTAGTTAGGCTGGGTCACCAGTGTTTCCCTCATTACAATTTTTAGTTCTTCAGCCTGTTAATTAGTCCTGACTCTCTAGGGAAGGGCCACAGGTGAGAGCTCAATTAGCTGGTTGTGAGACTGGAAGCAAGGTGGCAAATTGTGTCACAAAAATGGAAAGAAACATTTTGTCCATATTTGTGTTATAATGAGACCTGCATATTTTGCATTGTTTGGATTTTTGTAGTGGTATTTGGGGACTGCACTTCAAGCACGGAAGCAGGATACCCATAAGAAATAGTGCCCCCTTCATGTGGCTTATGGAGCACAAACAGACATGAGATTGATTGAGGCTAGTTAGAAAAATGAGCTTGTTTGTTGCTTTTCATTCAATCACTGTCCACTGAAGGTTGTTTAAATTAACAAATGATTTGTTTAGCTTATTTTATTTAAGTAAAAGTCAAAGAAAGGATTTTAAAAAATATTTAACATTTTATTTATTGTTTGTTGAAGTATAGTTGGTTTACAATGTTGTATTCATTTCTGATGTACAACATAGTGATTCACTTATACATATATATATTTCATATTCTTTTTCATTATAAGCCATTACAAGGTGTTGAATATAGTTCCCTGTGCTATATATACAGTAGGCCCTTGTTGTTTAAGTATCTGCAAATCCTGAACTCCCTATTTATCCCTCCCCACCCTCTTTCCCCTGGTAACCATAAGTTTGTTTTCTATGTCTGTGAGCCTGTTTCTGTTTGTAAATAAGTTCATTTGTTTCTTTTTATTTTTTGAAGATTCTACATATAAGTGATACCACATGGTATTTTTATTTCTCTTTATGATTTACTTCACTTAGTATGACAGTTTCCAGGTCCATCCATGTTGCTGCAAATGACATTATTTAATTCTTTTTTTATGTCCAAGTAGTGTACCATGGTGTCTACATATCACAACTTCTTTATCCAGTCATCCATTGATGGACGTTTAGGTTGCTTCCATGTTTTGGCTATTGCCAATAGTGCTACTGTGAACATCGAGGTGCATGTATCTTTTTGAATTAGAGTTCCCTCCGGATATATGTCCAGGAGTGGGATTGCTGGGTCATAGGGTAGGTCTATTTTCATTTTTTTTTTTTAGGAATCTTCATATTGTTCTCCATAATGGCTGTAGCAAACCACATTCCCACCAACAGTGTAGGAAGGTTCCCTTTTTTTCCACACTCTCTCCACAATTACTCTTTGTGAACTTTTTAATGCTGGCTATTCTGGCCAGTGTGAGGTGATACCTCATTGTAGTTTTGATTTGCGTGTCTCTGATAATAGTGATGTTGAGCATCTTTTCATGTGTCTATTGGCCATCTGTATGTCTTCTTTGAAGAAATGTCTACTTAGGTCTTCTGCCCAATTTTGGATTGGATTGTTTGCTTTTTTGGTATTGAGTTGTATGAGCTGTTTGTATATTCTGGAAATTAACCCCCTTGTCAGTTGCATTATTTGCAAATATTTTCTCCCATTCTGTAGATTGTCTTTTCACTTTATTTATGGGTTCCTTTGCTGTGCAAAAGCTTATAAGTTTATTTAGGTCCCATTTGTTTACATATTTTTGCTTTTATTTCTATTGCCTCAGTAGACTGCCCTAGGAGAACATTGGTACAATTTATATAAGAGAATGTTTTTCCTATGTTCTCTTCTAGATTTATGGTGTCTTGTCTTAAGTTCAAGTCTTTTAAACCATTTTGAGTTTATTTTTGTGTATGGTGTGAGGGAGTGTTCTAACTTAATTGATTTACATATGGCTGTCCAGCTTTCCCAACACCACTTGCTGAAGAGACTCTTTTCTCCATTGTATATTCCTGCCTCCTTTGTCAAAGATTAATTGACCATAAATGTGTGGGTTTATTTCTGGGCTCTCTATTCTGTTCCATTGATCCATATATCTGTTTTTGTGCCAATACCATGCTGTTTTGATTACTGTAGTTCTGTAGTATTGTCTGAAGTCTGAGAGGGTTATTCTTCCAGCCTCATTCTTTTTCTTCAGTATTGCTTTGGCAATTCTGGGTCTTTTGTGATTCCATATAAATTTTAGGATTATTTATTCTAGCTCTGTGAAAAATGTCCTGGGTGATTTGATAGGGATTGCATTAAATCTGTAGATTGCTTTGGGTAGTATGGCCATTTTAACAATAATAATTTTTCCAATCCAAGCACATGGGATATCTTTCCATTTCTTTAAATCATCTTTAATTTCCTTAATCAGTGGTTTTTAATTCTCCATATATAAGTCTTTCACCTCCTTGATGGGGTTTATTCCTAAGTTTTTTTTTTCAATGTGACTTTAAAAGGGATTATTTTTTTTTACTTTCCTTTTCTGATATATCATTGTTAGTGTAAAGAAACACTAGTGTGTGTTAACAGAAATTTCAGCAGCAGATTTCTATATGTTAATCTTGTATCCTGCTACCTTACTGAATTTGTTTATCAGCTCTAGTTATTTTTGCATGGAGTCTTTAGGGTTTTCTATATCTAGTATCATGTCATCTACGTATAGTGACAATTTTACCTCTTCTCTTCCAATTTGGATCCCTTTTATTTCTTTTTCTTGCCTGATTGCTATGGCTAGGACTTCCAATACTATGTTGAATAGAAGTGGTGAGGGTGGGCATCCTTGTTTTCCTCTGGTGAAAAGGTTTTCAACTTTTCATCATTGAGTATTATGTTGGCTGTGGGTTTGCCATAAATAGCTTTTATTATGTTGAGATATGTTCCCTCTATACCCACTTTGGTAAGAGTTTTTATCATAAAGTATGTTGAATTTTATCAAATGCTTTTTCTGCGCTTATTGAGATGATCATGTGGTTTGTTCTTTCTTTTCTAAGTGTGGTGGTGTATCACATTGATTGATTTGCATATGTCAAACCATCCTTGTGGGCTCTGGGATGAATCCAACTTGATCATAGTGTATGATTTTTTTAACGCATTGTTGGATTATGTTTGCTAATATTTTGTTGAAAATTTTTGTGTGTATATCTGTCAAAGATATTGGCTTGTAATTTTTGTTTTTTGGTAGTGTCTTTGTCCGCTTTTGGTATCAGGATGGCTGTGGCTCCATAGAATGAGTTTGGGAGTATTCCCTCCTCTGCAATCTTTTGAAAGAGTGTGAGAAGGGTTGGTATAAGTTCTTTGTATGTTTAGTAGAATTCCCAGTGAAGCCATCAGGTCCTGGACTTTTGTTTGCAGGGAGGTTTTTTTTGTTTTGTTTTGTTTTGGTTTTTTTTGGTTACTGATTGTATTTCATTTCTAATGATTGGTCTGTTCAAATTACCTATTTCTTCTTGATTCAGTTTTGGTGGACTGTATGTTTTTAGAAACTTGTCCATAAAGAAAGTCAGGATTTGAAGTGCTTTTGTAAAACTACTAAACTCAGAGTTAGGGGACTTGAAATCTAATTTTTATTGGTATGGATTATTTCTGTGATAGATTCATCTGCAAAATGCAAACATCGGCCTAGATACTGTCTAATAAAATTTCTGATCTGATATTGTGGAGAAGAAAACTTGGGTATGATTATTATAGTGAGATATTCCTTGTAATGGTAGAAGCTTGTTCACATTTTTACCAGATTTATTAGATCTTCTCCCAAAATCATAAAATATGTGTATTTTCTTTCCAGGACAGGAGGGCATTTTAAAAATTGCTTTTACTTTGTCAAGAAATTTCAACAGTTTCTCTGCTCTCATTAGTTTCCATTGGAAAATATCTCCATGTGTCTTTGTAAGAAGGGCCTATGGTCAATATTCAGTTTCCTGATCTTTGTTTGACTTGCCTAATACCCACTTGGGTTGATGTTTTGCTAATAATTATGATGATATCTATGATTGAGCTAGCCTGTTTTCATCATGACTGGTGACTACGTGGAATAATGACTATGTTGGAGAATAACATAAGATTGGATTAACTTTTTTTTCTTTGGACTACCTGTTTCTTTAGCATGATATATATCTGTTATTTGGTCATGTATTTTTCCAAGAATAGAGGAAAAGGATGTCATTCTTATCATGGGGAAGTAAGTCTTTTGGGGTCTATGAGAAATAAGTATGGAAGAGACAAACAATGATATATCATCAATAGTTTATTGTCAATTTTCATGCAGTACACTATTTTTGATTTTATATACCTAAGGTGATTAATGAATGCAAAAATACAGAGTTTCAATAGAAAGATAATAGAGGCAGGTGTACTGAGACCTGATATTAATATAGCAGCTTTGGCTTACAGAATAGTGATTTTACACGTTTGGTTACTTTGAAATATTTGGCAAATATTAATGTAACAACATTCAGGGTTCTAAAATTTACCGTTCAAAAGAAAAGTTCATACTTGAGCTTCAATCTCCCCAAATACTCATGGATTTCTGAATTTAGCACTGATTGGAATTGCTTTCTTCCATTCACCACTTCCTTACTATAAAGTTCAAAGCTTCCTAGAGAAAAAAAAAAGTACCTATCACTAATGGAAAGAAATAGTGTAACTAACTTTCTTAAAATCATAAGAGATGATAACCTCCCTGAAAACATAATGAAATTATTCTTGACTCAAGTTGTGTCTTTGTCATTCTCCTATTCTTTAGGTTAATTACTTAAAAATTAATTTCTAAATTATAATAAAATGATCTTTGGAACGGATGAAATCCCATCTGTTTCACAAGATCACTTGGATGGCCATATGTTCCTGGGTGTATATTACTGCTTGTTATATTGGTGCTCATAATTCATCTGAGGATTGAGATCTGTCCCTGAATCCTACATGCCATACTGAGACTGAGATTCTCCAAACCTTGACTGTCCATAGTCATAATCTGCACTTCCATAGCTGCCATGTCGCCAATCTTGAACTGTATCATGTGTTTGGTTCCTTGAGCTGGACCCAGACTTTCTGTAAGTAATCCTTAACTGTCTACCAGCAGTTTGAGAATAACCAGCACTGTCAGTAACATTACCAACTGTGGAACATCTGTGTCTATGGCTATTGAACACAGCAGAGCTTTGTCCATATCCAGTCCCTGAGTGTTTGGAGCCATCTTTTTGCTGCTCATGGCGGTGCCCCTGTCCCTGGCCAGAGCTGCTTCGAGAATCTCCGTGGACAGAATCCCTGTCTGTAGGGGCGGCACTGTACTGTTGCAGAGAGTCTGATTGGGTAGAGCTGACTCCTGCCTGGCCATGGGAAGCCCCATGTTGGTGCCTTGAACTGGATCCAGATCGTCCATGGGTAGTCACAGTTCGTCTCCCTGCAACTTCATAGGAGCCTTCGCTGTCACTCGCCTGGCTAACACTAGATTCC